CTGACATATAATCAAGCAACTAAAATTACTAATTTCTTTTTTGATGGTTTGCTATTAGCTGATGGTGTACGGACACTAGGGAATCCTAACTTTAGTTATGGAGTAAGTCACAACAAAAACAATATAATAATAATATTAATGTGAATTAAATTAATTAGTTGCGATGAACATATATTATTTGCTAAACCAACCAGTTTAATTTATAATTTTTCTTCCTTACTCTATACAGTTTGCTTCTACTTCTCCCAAAGTATTCATTGGAGCTTGTCTGCCTCACTATTTTCATTTCATTGGAACAATTCATCAAGTTGTTTTCTTTAAAGAAGCACTCAACAGCACATTCATATCACAGCTAATGGATGAGTCTGATACACTAGTCAATCCATCAGGTGTATGCACTAACTATCTACAGATTGGAACTACATGCCCTGCTCCTTCAGTAGCTCCTTCAGCTCTCTGTCAATCATCAATAAACAAGTATGTGTATTTTTATTTTTTATTTTTATTCCTTCATTTTTAATAAGGTGTAATCCTAATGCAAGGTGCTTGCCTGATGTTAACTATCAATATACCTGTCAGCCACAACCAGTTGGTAGGTTGCATGATTTGGGAGGAAGCTGTTATCTCATTGTTACTCTTGACTATAGTGATTGACGTAAAAAGTGTATGTATTGCATGGTATTATCATAAAGTTATTTTGCTTATTTAGCTATTATTGCAAATGAACAATCTTTTCTATTCCTTTAGTATGTACATCAGACTCAACATGTCAACCAAACTACTACTGCAGCAGTGGTACTATACCTACTGATAACAGTAACTATTATAAAAACTCAGACAAATCATTACCAGGTCAAAGTGTCTTTTTACAAGAGAATTTGATGCACTTTTCCGGAGAGAGCATTACCAGAACAAATGTCCTACCAGTTCATAGTGTCCCAGATCTTGTCTCAGACCTCACTGTATTTGCTATTGTGAATCAAGAGCCTGGTAATGATGGCTATGTGATTGGAAAAGGTCTCAATGATAAAATGAGAGACTTTGGTCTTTATCTACGTAGCTCAAAAAGTACAATCTGGCTAGCATATGGATCTGATGATAAAGGTGTTGGATTCCGTGGTATTATATTCTTTTATGATGTTAATGTTGCTGATGGGAATGAGCACTCAGTGACAGCAGTCATTGATGGTTCTGCTAACAGTGCATCTCTTTATATTGATGGAGTATTGAGAGGATACCAGTGCCCATTGCCAGTCAAACCAGCCTTCAGACCTGATGTAATGTTATTCTAAATTTTAATTGTAAAATTAATGCAGTGAGCAGAAGTAGTCCTATTATCCTATACATTATTGCCAGCTAGCTTCTTTCCACCATTATTTTGTTAAAATGAACAATTTTTGAAGAGTAAATAGTTAGTAGTGGCTATAAAATTACCCCAATTTTTACTACATTTTTCAATGCATATTATGTAGAAAATTTGAGCTGATTTTGTTTTTAAGTTGTGAGCATT